TATCACAATGGGTAAATCTTCGCGGGACACCTTGCTGTATAAGCATCATAATCTAATATAATTACCTAACAATGTATTAAATTATATTATGTACCTACTTATGAGTGACAGGGGGAATATTTTACTTAGAACAGTAAGATTATGCTTTAAACTTAGTGAATAGAGCTAATTTGTGGTTATTATACCATCGGTATTAACATAAAGACTAATTGGTAATAACTCATGCTAGAAAAATTCATAATAATTCATGGCAACAATTTGTTTTTGTTTAAAATTTACTTAACATCTATAATTCTACAAGTACTAAGTAGCGATGTTTACTATGAGTCCATTATCATTTTACCGAATACATGTAGTATAGGAAGTTCTTAAAAGCTCTAGAAACATATTTTTATAATTTCTGACTGTTATACTGCAGTTGAATTCGCTTAAAACGATGCCAGATTCTCAGATACAACGATACACATGGTATTATGATTTACAAATCATATTTTAGATGACACTCAGTTTCTACATACCTATACTTTTTTTATTTTTCAGCCCGGCTATCACGAAGTTTATGGACTTAACAATCTAATTCTCTGAGTTCTTCAAAGATCGTTAWAAGTGAATTAGTCTGCATATTTAAACTGCCAATAWTTTACTTTCATGTGTATATAAGTTTCTTATCACTGATATCGATATGAAGTATTTTTACTTACTTATTATGCTCTTGCTATTACAAGTTGTGTACTATAAACAGATAATTGCCCTAGACGCTATAATAAATCTGAAAAAATCATTTTTTCAACCATTGGATGAACTTCCGTCATCATGTCACAGGTATACAGTATACAAGATAATTCAATAAAAGTGACACAATTTTTTCAAACAGTCTTACATTTTTTTTTTTTAATAAAATAATTTTTAAGTTTTTACTATTTAAAATAATTTTCAAGATTACTTGAGTAAATCTTGGCTTAAATTATTCTAAAAAKCTTGAAACAATTTTCTATTAGGTTTATCTATCATGTGCAAAGATGATTTGGTGGTATGATTAGTCTTATTAGAAGTAACTTAATTCATCTAATTAGGCTTGAATGATGGGTGGTATTTTTCCAAAATATTGTTTTGTGATGGTTTTGAAAGTTATGAACAAATAATTACAAAAATATAATTATTTGTTTATATAATGAGTGTTTATTGTTAAAAAGATCATTCAGTACCAGTTCTATCTTATTTACATGTTGCATGTACATTTATTATTAATTAAAAATAATAAATAAAAGTTACTATTATATCACGAAAATGATTTAATGATTAATTTAAAAATCATAATTGATAGAATAATATAAATAATAGGTATTATTGGTAACAACATCCAAGATTATACAATGTAAATRTTATTTTACTGTATTACCTACTGCTTTCATATATTACTATATAGAGTTTCAATGAATTCAATTGCAATATAGGTCTATTATTATGAAATCATGTTATTAAATTAAT